AAGGAAGGGCTCGGGGCAATGGAAGGGCTCGAGGCGATGGAAGGGCTCGGGGCGATGGAAGGGCCCAGGGCGATGGAAGGGCTCGAGGCACAGTACAGGAGCCTTTGATGGGTGTGTGCCAATGGGCTTCACTCGGGAGAGGAAGTTGTTTGGACTCTTACGCAATTTCATTCTTTTTGTTTTCTGGATATTTGTAAAAATTCTTCACTTGGAATCGCATAGCACGATTGCTGCCTCTGGCACCTACCTAGTGGTGTGCATCTGTACATATAGTACCATCTGTAGACTCCTTGGAATTTTCACAAAGCAACGGACCAGAATTTAGATGATCAAGTTACTGAAAATTTGTGTAAACACAGCCTTGTCTCAGTGATTTGAACATTAGGTAATTTGTAGTGTATTTTAGAAAGCAATTCCAGGTTGAGAATGTAGCTCTGTTAAGAAAGTGCTTACCTAGCAGGCGTGAAGTCCTGCACTCATGAATCGGGAATGGAGGCACGTGGTTTTATCACTGAGAACATAGTTATAAGAACCAGAAGTTCAAAGTTGTCCTCCTACATAAAGAATTTGAGGCCAATCTGGGCTACATCAGACTATTTCTTGGGGGGTTAAAAAAAAAGGAAATTCTAGAATATGAATGATGTTTATAAACACCTGCTCCTAGAAAACATATCCAGGCACAGTGGTATACACCTGTAACCCCAGCTTTTAGGAGGCCAGGGAAGAGGATCACAAGTTTGAGGCCAGCTTTAGTTAAAAAAGCAATACCCTATCTTCAAAACAAAACAAACTAACAACACATCATGTCCTTGTGTGTGTGTGTAGGTGGATGGTGTTGAGGGTGAAGCACAAACATGCACACGTAGATGTCAAAGTTGATCTTAGCTTTCTTTGTCCTTCACGCTCTCCTTAGTTTTGAGGCAGGATCTCTCTTACTGTTTGACTAGGCACCTGGCTTCCAGGACCCACCATGTCCACCTGTCCTGCCCCCAGTGCTCAGCACAGATGTGCACCACAGCAGTCAGCCCCAATGTGGTGCTGGCGATCTGAACTCAGGTTGTCAGGCTTGCCTAGCAAGCATTTTGTGCACTGAGCTATCTTCCCAGCTTTCCAAAACTTACTTTAATCTGAAAGATCAGATTTATTCTAGAAGCTCCAAATTATTTAGACCTTGAAAATATTTTAAGAAGTTTAGAACAACTCAAGAAAAAGTGTCAGTATGCTCTTGTTAAATCACATTCTTTTCTTTTTAAATAGGGCTTTGCAGTTTGCTGATGTGATTGTGTTATTTGGTGCGAGACTAAACTGGATATTACATTTTGGACTGCCTCCAAGATATCAGGCAGATGTGAAGTTTATTCAGGTACTCAGAGCGGGGCTTCAGATCAGCTCTTTGTTCCCCTCTTAGCCACTGTAAGCTCTGCTTTCTTCTCGGCTTTTGTAAAGAACCTTTTTTCTTCTGACAAAAATAGATTTTACAAATTATCTGACATAATTACAGGTGCCAGAGTTAAGCTACCCTTTCAAGCCTACAAGGTACCATGTGCTAATTCTAACCAGAAAAGCTTTCAAAGTCAAGTTTTGCATAGTTTGAAAAGGGTAATTTGCCTCTTCACAGTTCTACTGTATTTAAAGATAGGGAAAGAGGCTTAAGTAGGATGGTAGGCTGGAGAGACACCCTCCGCCTTGTTAGGGGTGAATATGTCTTTTAGATGCCAAAACTGTCAGCCTTTTGAGATCTCTAACTGCCTTTGCTTTCACCTGCCATTAAACTGAATCCCTGGAAAGTTCTAACCTCTCCCATGACTCTGTATGTGTTCCAGATAATGGCATCGGATCCCCTGGAACTGGAGTTACTGATGTGAGCCTCTAAGTGGGTGCTGGGGATCAAACCAAGGTCTCTAGAAGAACAGTTGAGGCTCTTAACTTCTAGGCAGTCTCTCTAGCTCTTCTTAAAGTTTTTTTTTGTTATACCATTGCTTATTATTTGTATTAATTACATTGATTTAGCATGTGTACGTGTGCATGTGTACATGTATATATGTATGTGTACTTGCATGTCGTGTAACATGTGCTGACGCCAGAAGACAACCTGTGGAGTTGGTCATCAGACCTGGTGGAAGGTGCTGCTATCCACTGAGGCATCACAACAGCCCTTCTGAAAGGCTTTTCAGAGCAAACACAGTGGGCTGGAGAGCTGGCTGCTCTTCCAGAGGACCCAGGTTCAAGTCCCAGCACTCACACAGCAGCTCACAATGATATGTAACTCCAGTCCTAGAGCATTTGATGCCTTCTTCTGTCCTCTTTGGATACCAGGCATACATGTGATACACAGACATACATGCAGACAAAACACACATACACATAAAATAAAAAAGATTTTGTTTTGAACGTTTCTTCAAAACAAAAATGACCAAACGTGGCTTGTTCTTTGGGTTTTTGTCTTTTTTAGATTGATATCTGTCCAGAAGAATTGGGGAATAACGTAAGGCCTTCTGTTACTTTGCTGGGAGACATAAATGCTGTTTCTAAACAGGTAAGAGCCTTTCTCTGGGTTTGAGTTTCTGTAGATTGGTCCCTAAAACAGTCAATTCTGGATAATGCTGGTTTTGATTCACTTGGTGGCATGTTTAGTGACATCACTTTTAAACTAAGTTTATAATGGAAAAGCAACTGCAACTTTTAAACTTGGTAAATTCTGCTTATTGTACATTGTTTATATTTGTGGAAGTTAGCATTTTAGAACACTAACTTAACACATAAAAATTTAAAGTCATTCAAACCAGAATTCAGTTAAGTAGAATTTACCTTTCTGAAAAAAAAATTACAGTATAGCTTTTAAAGGAATTAAATTTGACTTGTTACACAGTAGGAAAATCTAATGGTTTATTTTCAGATAATAAAGAGTTTTTTACTCTTCGAGCTGTAATCAGTGACTTGGCAGACTTCTTATTTGTATGTCATTTATACATTTCATTGTGGCAGGAGATCAGACAGGGTCACCTTTGTCACTTGATTCTGTGTAGCTGCCATGTAGAATGCACAGCGTTGAGATGCAGATGCTATTCCTGTCAAATGTGCAGTCACTTGGGTGATTTGAAGCCCTTGGTCAGTCACTCACTGCAGGCAGAGAAGCAAGTGTGTAAGCCAATGGGAAGGGCAGAACAGGGGCTGTGAGCCTCCTGCAGTGTGTCACAAGCCTTCTTTAGGAAGATTTCTATGTTCATGTGACTGAAGTCTATTTTCAAAAAGGAAAGAAAAGTTTGTTTTGTTATATTTTTAGCTTTTAGAACAGTTTGATAAAACTCCATGGCAGTACCCCACAGACAGCAAGTGGTGGAAGACTCTGAGGGAGAAAATGAAGAGCAATGAAGCTGTCTCCAAGGTAACATGGGGCCAGTGGAAATTCAAGATCCCTCAGGTTGTTGGATTGCTTAGTCCTTCCCTAATAGGGCGTAGACAGTCGTAGGAAGCACTGCACTTGTAAGCCTGGGGATGAAAAACCTAGGGCACAGTTCTCACAAGAGAGAGAGTGGGGAGAGTTCAACCGCAAGCTTAAGAGATGCCGCCAAAAGGGAAAAGTGGTTCTGGAAAAGGAGGGAAAGGAGGTGCAGCCTCTGGGAGTGACAGTGCTGACAAGAAGTCTCAGGGTCCTAAAGGTGGTGGCAGTGCAGTAAAGGTCAGACATATTCTATGTGAAAAACATGGGAAAATCATGGAAGCCATGGAAAAGTTAAAGTCTGGGATGAGATTCAGTGAAGTGGCCACACAATATAGTGAAGATAAAGCCAGACAAGGGGGTGACTTGGGTTGGATGACCAGAGGATCCATGGTGGGGCCATTTCAAGAAGCAGCATTTGCCTTGCCTGTCAGTGGGATGGATAAGCCTGTGTTTACAGACCCACCAGTTAAGACAAAATTTGGATATCATATTATTATGGTTGAAGGGAGAAAATAAAATCATATGAAAGACTGAAAAAAAAAGAGAGAGAGTGGGATAAGAGTTAAAAATGGACATGGTCACGGCTGGCCTCTACTCCTGTACTTCTCTGCTCTCTCTCCCCGCCATCTTCTCCTGTTTCTCTCCCCACCTTTGCCCTCTGCCCTGAATAAGCCACCTCTCCTTTGGAAAAAAAAAAGTTAAAAATGGTAGTGAAGCCAGACATAGGGGTCACACCTTTAATCCCAGCACTTGGGAGGCAGAGGCAGGCAGAGTTTGAGGCTAGCCTGGTCTACAAAGTGAGTTTCTAGGAAAGCCAGGGCTTTCACAGAGAAAACCTGTTTCAAATCTTAAAGAATGCTCCCCACCAAAAGGTGAGTTTTTAACTATGTAAATAAGAAACAAAATCTGTGCATGCCCTTGTGTATGCATACATGTTGTCGCTCTTGTGTGTGAGTACATGTTGTAGTTAGTGTGTGCTTTACCTTGGAAGAGCCTCAAGCTCCTTGCATGATTGAGCATCCAAAGAGTCTTGGTTTGAGACTGCTGTAAACCAGTAGAAGAAAAGCAGGCTGACTTTGGAAAGTTGTCAGTTTGATTCTGGTGCAGAATATCAGTTATATCCAGGGCGTGTTAGGAGATAGCTATCTGTTCTTAAGATATCTTTCCTTCAAGCATGTGAGTGTGATAGTTCCTTCTTCAAAATGGAAAATTTGATCAATGTTTTATCCACTTCGTCCCACACGCACACGCACATGCACATGCACACATACATGCACATGCACACACATACACACACAACACACACACACACTCTCACACACATTGCCATTTAACTTTTATGTCACTGCTAGAAACTCTTGTGGCTCTCCTCCACTGTCACCATTTCTACTGCCCAGGCTCAGTTCTGTTTTCTCGGTTATTGTAAATACCCCAGGGTCCTCACAGGGCTTGCCCCTCTGTCTGCTGTAGTGGTGTGCAGAGTCTCTGTGCATCTTGGATATATAATCTCCAGCAGAGGGGTTAGCACAGGCGAGGCTGGAGTTCTGGGACCAGATGGGACTGGTAGTGATGAAACACAGTGGCTCCTCCCAGTGCTAGCAGACCTGTGGCTGTCTGAAGACATCTACCTTGCTATGTCTCTCATTCAGGGACTTCTAAAGTAACCGATATAATGTAGCTCTTTTACAATGTGTGAGAGAAGAGCCAGGTTTTCAGATCATCTTCTGTAATCCTAACATCTTAGTTTTAAACTTAGGGCCATATTTCACATAAAAATATTCTGAAAAATGCATGACAGTATTTTTCTAAGAGAGTGCAGTAAGATTGTTCTGTTTTGTTGAACCCAGTGTTGCTTGGCCATCTTTACTGTATGACTTCAGGTGTTTGATATGGTAAGGTGTGTCAACTCACTGGGACATGGGAGATTCCCCAGCTTGTTCATCGTGTCCCAGCTGGGACTGTAGGGCACATTGTTGTGAGCATGGTTCTGGATTGTTCACAGTTCAAAGAGTAGCCACTATGCAGCCATTTGGGAATCTTGTAGCTTATTGGTAACATTAAACTGTTCTAAAATAACTATAGTAATAGCTTATTGTCATCGGTTTTTTTCATGATGTCCCAACATAATTTATTGTATACTCGCTTCTGCTGTTTTAGGAATTAGCTTCCAAAAAGTCCCTCCCTATGAATTATTACACAGTGTTCTTCCACGTTCAAGAACAGCTGCCCAGAGACTGTTTCATAGTAAGCGAGGGAGCAAACACCATGGACATTGGACGGACTGTGCTTCAGAACCACCTTCCTCGTCACAGGTGAGACTCCAGGAAGAAATGACAGCATGTCTCATTTGAAACCCCAGTGAAGCTGATTATAAAAAACATTTGACGACTGTACATGCCTAGTGTATAGGAACATATTTCATAAATGTATTTTAAATTTTTCTTCAGATGTCTTTCATTTATTTTATGTGTGTGATTTGCCTGTGTGTATGTATGTGTACCACATGTCTGCTTGGTGCCCTCAGAAGTAAGAAAGGGGCTTTTGGATTCCCTGGAACTGGAGTTACAGGCCATTGCAAGCCTCCATGTGGTGCCAGGGATAAAACTCAGGTCTTCTGACAAAGCAACAAGTTTTCCTAACCTCTGAGCCATCTCTCCAGCCCCACATAAGTGGTTTTTTATTGTTATTGTTTTTCCTGATGAGGTTTTTCTGTATAGCCCTGGCTGTCCTAGAACTTGTTCTGTAGACCAGGCTGGCCTTGAACACAGAGATCTGCCTGCCTTTGCCTCCTGAGTGCTGGGATTAAAGGCATACACCACCACTGCCCAGATCATAAATATGTTCTTCAGTGAGATTTTATAGTTTTATAGTTTTTATGCATCATAGTCCTTGGTATAGTATAATTTGCATATTCATTGTTCTGAGAATATATTTATAGTCATCCAAGCAAGCGTGAGTGGCTGTTTCCTTTCATGCTGTTTATCCTTGACAAATTAGTTCCTTATGTTCCAAAGATTTTATATTAAAGAAAAACATTTATTAATTTTTTCCACAAACCACATAAACATAGACTGAAAGGGTTTTGTTAACACTGCACTGCATGATATGTGTAAGAGAGTTTGATTTTAGTTTTCTTCTTAACAGGCTTGATGCTGGTTCTTTTGGAACAATGGGAGTTGGTTTGGGATTTGCTATTGCAGCCGCTATAGTGGCTAAAGAGAGAAGTCCTGGGCAGCGAGTGGTCTGTGTGGAAGGAGACAGTGCCTTTGGATTCTCTGGCATGGAAGTGGAAACCATCTGCAGGTAATGCAGAGCTGGAAGTCATAGTATTCCATGCTCATAACTAGGAAGTCTTACAAGACTCTCTTGCTTCATAAGCAGGTGTCCTGCATGGCACTGTCCGAGCTTTCATGGAGAAAGCAGAGACATATCAACTGAGGACTCTGCCACCCCCTTACCCAGCTGTAGTTAAGCTATAATAAATCTGTTCTGCTTAGTGGGGTTCTGTGAATCATGTTTTGGGATTTTCAAAGCTTTGATATATAAAACTGTCAAGATCAAGGTTTGGCAAGAACTCTGTAGTCCTGAGGTAGCAGTGGAGGCAGAAGGATGTGGAGTTCCAAGTTATCCTCTGCTGCATAGCAAGTTCAAGGTCAGCCTGGACTACATGAACCCATGTATTAGGATAAAATATGGTCTGTCAGAGGTCTATATTGACAACCACTTGATATATGCCAAAAGATGATGTATGGAGAGAATTTAGCTTTTTTTTTAAAAGTTTTATTTCTTTCTTTCATGTATGTGGGTAACTTTCACTGTCTTCAGACACACCAGAAGAAGGCATTAGATGCCCATTACAGATGGTTGTGAGCTACCATGTTGTTGTTGGGAATTGAACTCAGGACCTTTAGAAGAGCAGTCAGTACTCTTAACCGCTGAGCTATCTCTCCAGCCCGAGAATTTAGCCGTTGATAACTCCCTTCTAGCACAGAGAACAAATAGTTGCCATGTTCCTTTACTTAGTTGTATCACGACTCCAAGCCCTCAGAAATTGTATATGTTTAGACAACAAAGCCCACATTCTTTGTCAGCTTTCTGGGTTTTTAGCTTTGCTATACTGTTGAAGACATTGTGGATGCTCTTTCTCTGTACTGATCATGCTGTGCTGTTTGATCAGAGATGCAGATTGGGTGTTAGTTGTCTGTGCTTCTCACAGCATCCAGCGCAGGCTGGTTGTCATCGAGGCATTCAGTAATAGAATGAGACTTTTCAGTGTTCCTAGGAACCATTTAGAAATAGGCCTCAGAGGAGTGGGGAAGATGTTTTTTCTTGTAACCAACTGGAGAAGTTCAGTGATTTACCCAAGGTTCATAGCTAAGTAGATTACCAGGCTGAGTCTTGAACACTTTCCACTACTCTGATGTTTCTATCAGTGATTTGGTATTTTTTCATTAGGATAATAAATACTTGATTTTCTCTCTGATATTGAGATTTTCTTATAGAAAACATCCACTTTTAAGTAAAAATTTCAGTTTTAATAAAAGAAATTGCTTTAGGAAGGATGACATCTTCATAGTTTATTTTCAGGTACAACTTGCCAATCATACTCTTGGTAGTGAACAATAATGGAATTTACCAAGGTTTTGATGCTGACACCTGGGAGAAAATGTTAAATTTTCAAGATGCTACTACAATGTGAGTAACTTAAAACAGTGTATAATTATATTATGCCAACTATATTATGTCAAGTATTTGGTTTGTCTTTTTTTTTTTTTTAATTTTTTTTGTTTTTCCAGACAGGGTTTCTCTGTGTAGCCCTGGCTGTCCTGGAACTCACTCTGTAGACCAGGCAAGCCTCGAACTCTCGAACTCAGAAATCTGCCTGCCTCTGCCTCCCAAGTGCTGGAATTAAAGGCGTGCACCACCACTGCCCAGCTTGGTTTGTCGTTTAAAAGTTTGCTGTGTTGGAATGCGGCTCCATATCATACACTTGGTTAGTTCCTCAGGCCCTTTAAAGGGCAGAAGCCATCGCTTCATGGTTCCTTTTTATAAGACTACCCATGACAGTTGATTGTTTATAATCAGGGAACCACTGAAGACGCAGAGCAAGCTCTGTGTTTACATTTAAGTAGCAGTAGTGCTGTTACTGACACCGTACTAGGGAGGACTATCGATGCTGTATTAGTCAAGGTTCTCTCAAGGAACAGAACTCATGAGTGTATAGAAGAATCAGCATATGTTATAAGGGGAGTTATTAGTGTGGTTTACAGGTTGTGGTTTGTCTGGCTAGTTCAACAACAGAAGGACTCAATAGTTGTTCAGTCCACGAGGCTGGTCTTTAGTCTGTGTTGGAATCCTGACGAAGCAGGCTATAATACCAGTGAAGGAATGTCTCAGCAGCAGAATAGATGGACTTGCCAGCAAGAGTGAGGGCAAGCAGCCAAAAGCAAAAGCTCCCTTCTCCCACGTCCTTTTGTACAGATGCCATCAGGGGTGGGTCTTCCCACCTGAAATGATCCAGTCAAGTGAAGCCTCTCACAGA